AGGATATCGATACCACCATGTGTATCAAAACCAAGTTTAGATTCGATGTTTGAGAAAATAATTCAGTATCGATACCCTTACTTTGAGTATTGATAGTTCTTTGTAGGGCATCGATACCGCCCAAGTATTGATACCAAAATTAGATACTGAAATTTGTAACTTAGCGATGGTATCGATGCTCTTCCCTTAGTATCTATACCATAAGAATAATATCAATATCTTATGAATAGAGTACCAATACTACTTGATCAAGATCCCTTGACTCTGACCTTTTAGACGAACAATATCAATATTGTTTATCCAATATCAATATCTCAATAAAATAAGTAATCAATCGAAAAAATTCAAATCTTAGGGTGGACTGTCCACCCTCCCAAGCTGTGGCTCTGCCTCTGTTTAATAGTTTGAAAATGATTCAAAAATTTGGTATGAAAAAAAAACTATATTATGAGAAATTCTCAAACCAATGAAATGGGTAATGTAATGAAAACAAAACAAGAGATTGATTTCCCATGTTATAGGAAGAGGCGTCCACTTGCCTAAATTTTTTATTTTTCCCATAAGATCTGTCATTTCACATTTCTCTTCATTGTTGAAACAGGAAAAACTATGCACATGTGATGCACACATGATTTTTCAATTATCCTCTAAACACTCCCTCACATGTGCTTTGGATTCTTTTAAAAGTTGATGCAACAATTTGTAGGGTAAGATTGGGCCTCTCACATTATAATTATTGAATAAAACACATTAAAAAAATATTATTTAATCAAATATTGTGTTTACTTGTTACATACTATAATTAATTTTATCTGCATGAACCAAATTACTTTAGTGGTTAAATGAATGATTGTTAGGAGTGTATTCGGTTTCGGTTCGATTCGATTTTTCACTAAAATATGAACCGAATCGTACTTTGTCGATTTTTGGAAATGGGAATCGAGACCAAAACCGAAATCGAATGGTATAAAAGCCACGGTTTTTTGGTTCAGTTCAATGGTTTTTAACTGTTTACTATTTTTCAAACTCAAACTCTAAAAAAACAAATGTAAAGCTTAAATCAAGTGCAAATATACACATTTAAATTTATAAAAAATATTATTATTTTTAATAATTTATTTATTTAAATTTATCTTATAATAAATTCATAAGATGAATGTGTTTAGGATACTTATTTTCTTTTATTTTTTTTTAATTCGGTTCAAACGGTTTTCATATGAAAAAACCAAAACCGAAACCGTACTGAATTGAATATTTAGTTTTAAATTGATCCAAAATTGAATCGATTGGTCTGATTCGGATCGGTTTTTCGATTTTCTCGATTTCGTTGCTAAGCCCTAATGATTGCTATTTCTAGAGATCTTAGGTTCGAGCACTACAAACTGCAGAGTATTTGAGAGTTCATTGTCAAATTGTTGATAATCTTTAGAACATATACTGTCACTTGTAAATACCCTAGATTAGTAAAAAAATCAAAATATCATTCGAATCTACTGTTATTAATTAAAACTTAAAACGATAGTAAAATCTTATATAAAGATTGAAATTTGGCTTATTAGTATAAAGAGACCTTGGTCTTTTTTTAAATAAATCTATTAAGGTATTTCAAAAAAAAATTATGTTTAACTAATTTTTCTAATTTTAAATTTCTGGTTCAGTTAAAGGAAATTGATATTATAAAAAAAGAATTTAAAGATGTTATATAATTAATTGGGGAAATAGAGATATTTTTAATAATTAATAATGTTATTGGTAGATAAGGACAACTGTAGTAAGTAACTAACAACAGACGATGACTTTATTTTATTTTGTATTTTTGAGATTAAATTAAAAGAAAATTTAAAAATAAAAAAAGAATAAAATTTTATGAAAAAAATATTATAATAAAATAAATTTTTAAACTTCATGAAGACGCCCAAAATTAATTTGGTATTAATTTATGAAAGAATTTTATTTTAATTGTTAATTTTCACAAAGATGACTGTTGTTGGTGATTCTATCAAAATTATTTTTATCTATAGACGATTTTTTCAATTATTGTAATTTTTTTTATTTTTTAATTAATTTTATATTGTTTTTAAATTCTTATTTTGTAAAACATTAATTTTCTCCGAATTGCACCTAAATTTGACTTCAGTACTAAATTAAATATAAACTATAATTGTTAAGATCTGTTGCTGCAAAGAGTGTCTAAACAATTAATAACATTGTCGTTTGAGAACAGTAATTTTAGAACCACTCGATTTTATTTTATTTTCAGATCAGTTGGAATATCAACATTACACATTTAATTAACATATATAAATAAATAATTTTTTATGGTTGCCATTCGGTTCTAAGGCTTCGTCCAGATTAATTTAGACCGACCGGGGTCGAACACTTGACTTTGATGGGTAAGTTTCCCACATAGATTTTTTACGTATACAAAAACTCGAATCTTACTTAAATGTGTAATGATATCAAAATATTTACTACTTAAATCAATCTCGTGGATAATAACTATCATTTTGATTACGATAACAATTGACCTGCTGTACATCCTTTAATCAATAAATAAAACAAATGTTACTCTGTGTAGTTTTTCTTATTGATATTAATATATAGAGGAAATGCAAGACAGGGTGGAAAATGACAATAAATAAATAGAAGACAATTAACTTTGAGTGCATTAAATTTAACACGATCAAGTTATTTTATGTTGAAAACTATATTTAATAAATTTAAATTTTGATTTTTAAAGTTTATAAATTTTATTAGTATAATATTAGAAAATATTTTTAATATAGATTAAATAGTTATTTTAATCTATTTTCGTTAAAGTATTTTGATCTCAAAATTTTATTTTAAGAAGAAAAATCATAACATTTGATTAAGCAGTTAATTTAGTTATCATTATTTTTAATAACATTTTGATCGTCAACGTTTCATTTTAAGATAAAAGACTCTTATTTTAACACAAATCAAATTTCCTAAATGATTAAAGAAATGATTGTTATTTTTAAAGGTCTCGGGATCGAACACCAACAATTGCATCATGAGTGATTGAGCGTTCTTTGTCAAATGATCGAAAGTATTTATAATAGATATTATTTTATAATCATCGTAGTTTAATAAAAAAATATTATTTTAAAAAGTTATCCATTTATTTACTATCATTTTCCAACATTAGATGAAACTTTTTATTCTAAAATAAAACTCTAAGATTGAATAAAAAAACAAAATAATTATTTAATTGATTGCTAATTCTCCATTATATTTTTATTTAATATATATGTATACATATTTAAGGATAAATATTTACAGCAGTAGGTCTGCCGACACTCGCACGATAAAGAAATGGAATATTGCTTTTGGCCTTATTATTTTTATAATATGGAGAAAAATAATCAGAAAAAGGACTAAAACAGTTGGCTATTATAATTTGGAGAATTTTGTCAAACTGATTCACAGTTTAACTCAGTTGCTCTCCTAAATTTGCCGTCTTGTTTTCCTCATTTTTCAGTTTTTAATTCCCCTATCTCCCTCTAGTTTACCTTTTATCACCGCCAAGCACCACCGTGGCACGGTGGGGTAATCCTTGGTCCCACCACCTCCACAACCCTAACAAAGAAAGTGCAAGAACTTGGGTCCCACTCAAAGATCGATTTTGATTTTGATTTCAGTTTCTCTTCTCTTCGAGGTTTAAATTTAATTTCTCAGTAACTAGTTTCCCCTTTTTATTATTTACAGTTGGAGGGATTTTTTAGGATAAATTACACTGTTTCTCCTTTTTATTATTTACAATTGGAGGGATATTTTTAGGGTAAATTACATCGTTTCTCATTAAATTTCACTCTCTTTTATTTTATTCATCGTACTTTCAATTTTTTATTTTGCTCATTGAACTTTACAGATTGAACCATTTTGTTCACTCTGCCGTTAACTTTTTATTACAGTGTTATGACATGATACAAACATCAAAACGCAATCGTTTTTATAAACTTAAATATACACCAAAACGACGTCGTTTTAAATCATCTTTTTCCCCCTCCTCACTACAATCGCTGACCACCACAATATTTTTCATTTCGACCACTGTAGACCGTCGTTGATGGTGATCGTTCGACCCCAAAATTCATAAGTATGTTCATCTCGACTCCCTGAGTTCGAATCTAGTGGTTGTTTCATTGAAAAATATCCAAAAATCTGTGAATCTCGATTGAAACATTTCAGCTTCCTCACTTTCAATATATGACTCGTAGACTTCGAAACAAATTCTGACAAAACGGAGCTCGGATTCGAACTCAAAGAGTCGAGATGAAGCGACCCCATTAAATTTGAGACTGAACGACCACCATATATGGCGATCGAGGTGGCTGACTGTGGCATCCGACCACCTTCTGTTTTATTTTATAGTTGAGTGAACAAAATATGATAGAGAGTAAAGTTGAGTGATGAACAATATAATTTACCCTTTATATTTTAAATTATTTTATATTAAATAATAAAAAGACATGTAATCATACCGTTAGAAGATTAACGTAGAGTGAGTAAAATAATTTAATATGTATAGTTCATTAAGTAAAATAAAAAAAAATTAAAAAATACGATAAATAAAATAGGAGATAAAATAAAATTTAATAAAAAATGATATAATTTATCTTTTTTTATTGTTCAAAAACCTTTGACGTAAAAAGAAGAAGAAGAAGAGTGCATTACTCAAGAAAAAAATTGATTCATAATCGAAATTAAAATGTCAGATTTTTTTATTTGCCTCTTTGTGTGTTAAGCGTTGAATTTTCATCAACATTCTCTCTCTGACTCTCTCACAAGTTTTCATTTTTATATTTCACAGAGGGAGACAGCGGCTCATTAGTTGGCAAAATTGGGTCTCTCTCTATAAGAATCAATCAATAAGATGCGATGACACGGTGAATGTGTATTTTTTTTGAACTATTACTTTAGTATTTTTCTACTTCGTTCATTATAATAATTGACATTATATTTTTAGCTAGCTGTCTTCTTCCCATTTCCCGTCTCTCTCTCCTCTCTCTCTCTAAAGCTGCGTTTTTCTTCATTTCATTCTATAATGTGCGTGGCGCTGTTCCCTGTAATGTGTGCTTGAGAGGGAGGGACAGAGAGAGGCGGGAAGGTAAAGTTTGGGTCATGAGTTTTGAAGAGAGAGAGCTATATTGAAGTGGGTTTGTCTTGCTTTTGAAGCTTTGAGCTGTGTTGTTGTTATTGGGGTTGAGAGGTAAATGGATACCAAGGGAAGACTTGTTGCTGGTTCTCACAACAGGAATGAGTTTGTTCTCATCAATGCTGATGAGATTGCGAGAGTAAGTACCTTCAAGGCGTATTACTTCTTTTTAGCTTTTTGTTACCGCTTATGATCTACACCAATAGTTTGTGAAGGAATTTTGGAGGATTAAAACCTGGTCGATGTGATCTTTTTGGAGCTTCTTTTGTGTCTCACGCTTTTCTTGGACCCCCATATTTGGATTTGGGTGAGGCTTTTAAAAATTTTTACTTTTAGGTCTCATTGGTGGATTAGCAGAAATTTTTACCATGTTTCCATGGCTGTTTTCTTCAGCTTGATTGTCTAGTGTTTATATACAGCCTAGATTCAACTAAACCGAACTTCATTAACCATCCCTTATAAACCCAATTAAGTAATTTGTTCTATACTTCGTAGATCTCAGAGCTGCTAGATGCATCCAAGTTTGGCAATTAATAACTGTAGTTTTGGATTTTTCTTGGGGGAGGATTTATTTAGCTATTACAAAAGCTTTTTAGTTGAGTAGTCTTTTGTCCGGTGTTTTGAAAAGCATTATTAATGATCTGGTGACAGTTGACAATGTAAGTTCTGTAACGATGACTTGCAGGTGACATCTGTTAAAGAACTAAGTGGGCAGATTTGCCAGATCTGTGGAGACGAGATAGAGATTTCGATTGATGGTGAACCTTTTGTCGCCTGCAATGAGTGTGCATTCCCAGTATGCAGGCCTTGCTATGAATATGAAAGAAGTGAGGGGAATCAAGCATGCCCTCAATGTAAAACCAGATACAAGCGCATTAAAGGTGAGGCTCGATAAGTTGATCTTTTAGTAAAACCTGGAAATCCCTGGGTGGTAATAGTTTTAGCTAACAATGTGACCTATTCCAGGTTGCCCTCGTGTGGAAGGGGATGAGGAAGAGGATGGTGCTGATGATTTGGAAAATGAGTTTGATATCGCTAGCCAAGATAGGAGAGACCCTCACCATATTGCTGCCGCCATGCTCTCTGCTCGACTCAATATCAGACGTGGTTCCCAACCTCATGTTTCGGGACTAAGCACGCCAGCTGAGTTTGATGCTGCTTCTGTTGCTACAGAGATCCCTCTTTTGACATATGGCGAAGAGGTGAATTTTTGCTAGTCATGTTTTGTTCGTTTAATTATTATTCCATTGGTGGCTGACATTTATAATTGATTATTATAAAAAAAAAGGATGCTGGGATTTCCTCTGATAAGAATGCTCTCATCATTCCTCCTTTTATGAGTCGCGGAAAATGTGTCCATCCATTGCCAGTTCCTGATCCTTCCATGACTTGTAAGTTACTCCATTTCTTGGTAGCAATGTACAAAAACTTGCAATTTAACTTCAAATGATTCATTGCAAAATTCCGAACTTTTTAGTTATCAGATTATTCTGTGTAATGTAGTTTTGTTGTTGATATCACAGTGCCACCCAGACCAATGGATCCTAAGAAAGATTTGAGAGTTTATGGGTATGGAACTGTTGCATGGAAGGAAAGAATGGAGGATTGGAAGAAAAAACAGAATGAGAAACTCCAGGTGGTTAAGCATGAAGGATATAACGGAGATGAGTTTGACGATCCCGATTTGCCAGTGTAGGTGCATTTTACCATTGAATTCTTAACTTCTGTTTCTGTGCATGCTAGCTCGTAGAAACTTGTTCCTGCAATTGTTTTTTTTACTAGATTCCACTTTCTTTTTTGGGTTAAAAGAACATAGAAATTGTCCATTCAGAAAAAGACCTGCCTGCTTCAGCTAAAGCCTAAGTTGCTAATTATCAATGGTATTTATGATTAATTGTAGAAGCATAATTGTTGTTTTCACTTGTGCTAAATGAACTATTTTAACCTTGGCTTCTTTTTTCCTGGGAAATATCAATCTTTTATGTGATTGCGTTATCTACTTTGTGGTGGCACTAGAGTTAGTCTTCTCCTTACATATATGTTAATGTTACTTTCATGTTGTGCATGCCTCGTTCTTTTGTGTTGGAGAAGTAATGCGAACTTGCATATGAGCTCTCTGCATCAAGCACGATAGTAATTCATATCAGTTTCAGTTACCAAATCTACACTAGGCTAAAAGTAATTATAGTTTCTTATGCCGGCCCTTTTGCATTCATCAACTGTTCCAACTGAAAAAGTAATTTTTTTATTGTTGTAGGATGGATGAAGGCAGGCAGCCGCTTTCAAGGAAACTACCAATCCCGTCTAGCAAGATAAATCCATACAGATTAATTATCCTACTCCGGATTGTGGTCTTGGCATTGTTTTTCCACTATAGAATTCTGCATCCTGTGAATGATGCTTTCTTTCTGTGGCTTCTTTCAGTCATATGTGAAATATGGTTTGCTATATCATGGATATTAGATCAGTTCCCGAAATGGCACCCAATTGAACGAGAAACATACCTTGATCGTTTATCATTGAGGTGATTTTATCTTCCTTTCTCATATCCATGTCTGCACTCTTTCTCTTTGCATCTCAATCCATCTCTACCCTGATGAATTTGAGTGCATGTCAGAGAGGGAATTCTGTTTTAGTTGTTATTTTTATATTTATATCATTAGTTTTTGTTTTCCTCTTTCCCCCCCTCCCCTCAGATACGAGAAAGAAGGGAAGCCGTCTGAGCTAGCTTCTGTAGACGTATTTGTGAGTACAGTTGATCCCATGAAAGAGCCACCACTTATCACTGCAAATACAGTTCTTTCTATCCTTGCTGTAGATTATCCAGTTGATAAAGTAGCTTGCTATGTCTCTGATGACGGTGCTGCCATGCTCACGTTTGAGGCTCTGTCTGAGACAGCTGAATTCGCAAGAAAGTGGGTACCATTTTGTAAGAAGTTCATCATTGAACCCCGGGCCCCAGAGTGGTATTTTGCTCAGAAAGTTGACTATTTGACAGATAAAGTAGATCCAGCATTTGTGAGGGAACGCCGTGCCATGAAGGTTTGTAACTTTTCTCCTAATTACAATATGTTTACTGCTGGTAATTTTGTCATTTGATTAGCGTACCTAGCGCCTAAATGCTTTATGAAGGAATCAATTGTAGACCTGGAAATTGCGTTAAGTTTAGCAGACAGAGAGGCTGTCTATTTGCATTGGGCAAAAGAAACTCATTTATTTTATTCATGGTATTTGTGTACACTAAAAATGTGCTCCATTGGTTTCAAAATTCAATAAATGATGTTCATAATGAGTGTTGCTAATTTGTCAATACAGAGGGAATATGAAGAGTTCAAAGTTCGAATAAATGGCTTGGTTTCCACGGCTCAAAAGGCTCCAGAGGAGGGTTGGACCATGCAAGATGGGACTCCATGGCCAGGAAACAATGTCAGGGATCATCCTGGAATGATCCAGGTGAGGTGTTTTCTTTATGTGCTGTTTGAGATATGGTTCAGATGCTACCTGATTCCCACACTTATGCCAGTATGCATATTAACATCTGTAAAAATTGGGTATTCTTTGATATAGGTTTTCCTTGGTCATGATGGCGTTTGTGATATTGAAGGGAACGAATTACCTCGTCTGATTTATGTTTCTCGTGAGAAGAGACCAGGCTTTGATCACCACAAAAAGGCTGGAGCGATGAACTCATTGGTATGCTTCTCTCTTTCTTATCTCAAGCATGCGCAAACAATAAAATCTAAGTTTGACGTGCCATCTGTTCTGTTTGTTGTTTGATTAATCTAATTGTTGAGAACTTTTGGCTGAAATGAAGGTGCGAGTTTCTGCTATCATCTCCAATGCTCCTTTCCTACTGAACGTTGATTGTGATCACTATATAAACAACAGCAAGGCTCTTCGTGAAGCTATGTGCTTCATGATGGACCCTATTTCAGGAAAGAAGATCTGCTATGTCCAATTTCCCCAAAGATTCGATGGCATTGATCGACATGATAGATACTCAAATCGCAATGTTGTATTTTTTGATGTAAGTATAGGTTTTGGAAAAATTTAATGTTGACTTGCAAACCATGTTTCTTCCTGGAAGGAAAAGATGATATGTACTTTTTTATTTTTGTTAAAACAGATCAACATGAAAGGACTGGATGGGATTCAAGGTCCTATTTATGTCGGAACTGGATGTGTCTTCAGGAGGCAGGCACTCTACGGGTATGATGCCCCTGTCAAGAAGAAGCCTCCAAGAAGAACATGCAATTGTTTGCCAAAATGCTGCTGCTGCTGCTGTTTCCGATCTAAAAAGAAGAATAGGAAATCAAAGTCCAGTGAGAAGAAGAAAAACAACAAAGAAGTTACAAAGCAGATATATGCTCTGGAGAATATTGACGAAGGAATTGAAGGTTAGTTTTCCTATGGTTTCTGGTATGCATCTGCAAAATGAATTTTTCTCATGGCTCATAATCTCTGTTAGGTAGTAACTATAAATTATCTTGGACTGGTCTCCTTTGCATACTTTTGTCCCATCTAAGTCGGGATTGATGTTTCGTAATATATTTTATTGACCGAGAATCTATTACCTTTATTATTTCAGATACATGCTCCCTTGCTTAAATAGATTATGTTAGACCCTTATCACTTGTATTGCCATCATATTATATTTCAGGTATAGACAATGAGAAGTCATCCCTTATGACGCAAATCAAGTTCGAGAAGAAATTTGGTCAATCACCTGTTTTCATTGCTTCAACTCTTATGGAGGACGGAGGAGTTCCAAAAGGAGCAACAACTGCATCACTTTTGAAAGAAGCCATCCATGTCATCAGTTGTGGTTATGAAGATAAATCAGATTGGGGAAAAGAAGTATGTAGAAACCATTTTGAACTTAATAAATTAATTTGTCTTTCGAAGTTCTTTCCCTTTGAATTATTGCATTATGTATTGATGCTCATCAATGCTGATCTTCATCCAGGTTGGGTGGATATATGGTTCTGTTACAGAGGATATATTAACAGGCTTCAAGATGCACTGCCATGGCTGGCAATCAGTGTACTGCATTCCTAAAAGGCCCGCCTTTAAGGGTTCGGCTCCCATTAACCTCTCAGATCGTCTGCACCAGGTTCTTCGTTGGGCTCTGGGATCTGTTGAAATTTTCTTGAGCAGGCATTGCCCAATATGGTATGGCTATGGCTGTGGACTGAAACCCTTGGAGCGCTTTTCTTACATAGCCTCTGTTGTGTACCCTTTGACATCAATTCCACTGCTCATTTATTGTACACTGCCAGCTGTCTGTCTCCTTACTGGAAAGTTTATCGTCCCCGAGGTAATTCTGCTTGGCATGTCATTCTAACGGGCCATCAGCTCGGACTAGTAAATAGTAATTTTGACTGGCATGTCATTCTAACGGGCAATCAACTCAGACTAGTAAATAGTAATTTTAGAACCGATTTTATGGGTGATAATATGACCGCTTATCATTAACATGCTTTTACTAAGTCAAAGGAAAGCTCATACTGCAGATTTTATTTTCTTTCCCTTTCTTTTATTCTTTTGAGTGGGGATACAATATCACTGGATATACTGTGGGAAGTACAAAAACTGGATATGCACTTAATCTGCTTTATCCGAGTTTCAGCTAATTCCAATTTTTCCCTGTGCAGATTAGCAATTATGCCAGTCTTCTTTTCATGTCTCTCTTCGTAGTCATTGCTGTGACTAGCATCCTCGAAATGCAGTGGGGAGGTGTTGGAATACATGACTTGTGGAGAAATGAGCAGTTCTGGGTGATTGGTGGTGTCTCCTCACACCTGTTTGCTCTCTTCCAGGGTCTGCTCAAGGTTTTAGCTGGTGTTAACACGAACTTCACAGTCACCTCGAAAGGAGGAGACGATGGAGAATTTTCTGAGCTATATATATTCAAGTGGACATCATTGTTGATTCCTCCTATGACGCTGTTGATCATCAACATAATTGGAGTCATAGTTGGGATTTCAGATGCCATCTCTAATGGATACGACTCATGGGGACCTCTATTCGGTAGACTGTTCTTTGCGATCTGGGTCATCGTTCACCTCTACCCGTTCCTCAAAGGGATGATGGGGAAACAAGACAGGCTTCCCACCATTATTGTGGTTTGGTCAATACTATTAGCTTCAATTTTCTCCCTTTTATGGGCTCGAGTCAACCCCTTTGTTTCGAAAGGAGATATTGTTTTAGAAGTGTGTGGTTTGAACTGTGACTAAAATACAGGAAAAGAATAAAAGGAAAGGGAAGGGGGGGTTGTATTTCACGAAGAAAACTTGTCCGGAAATCGCATAAAATCCGCAGCGCATTTGGTGGAAGATGAAGACATCGTCAGATGTGCCATTGTTGCCCTCAGCATGTACTGGTAAGGTAAGCAAAAGGGGAAACCATGTTGGAATAGCTGTAGATACACAAGAGTCGTGATCCCCATATTTGTTTTTGTTGATTTCTTTATTGATTCTTTGGATCCAAAAGGGTAAAAAATAATAATGATATTATATTCCCTTCTCAATGAGAGGCTTTCAGGAACTGTAAAAACTTGGATTGGAATTTGTTTTTTCTTTCATTTTAAGGTTGTCTGCTTTGTCTTGCAAATAAGATATGGCTGCAAGCATCACCATGGCATTGAGGAATTAAGGCTTTAGCTTTTCATTTCATTAGCTTTGTTTTGTAACATAATTTCGAGTGCATCAGATTGATGGTCTAGTCCCTTATTAGAGCCCACATTGCCCTCAAAATAAGTTTAAAATACTTATTTCTCATGCGTTAAATAGTCAAGAGTCTTTAGAACATATACTATAACTTTGCCAATTCTTTTAACTATCACGGCAATATTTCCATCCATTCTTATGGTTAGTGGCTTAATTGACAATAATTAAATAGTTAGGTAGTCTGATTGACAAAATTGAAAGATCGATGAAAAAAGTAAATGAGCTAAATTGTTAGGCGGTCAATGGTATAGTTTACCATTTTGAAAAAATTAAAAGTTTATGTACTAAAGGATCAAAAATTGATAATTTGGGTATTAAATATGTAAATTATCCTAGATTTTGTACCTTTTATACAAATAATAATTTAATATTTTTAGAAAAAATTTCAACAATAATATTTTTGGAAAATTTAAATTTTAAGATAATGTTTGATTTCCTTTGGAAGGACATTGATATTCAAAAAAAAAATTCGAAAATATATGATCATTTTCTCTATTATTTCCTTTTTTTATTTTTGATATTTTTTATTATAAATTATTTAATTTAAAAATAAAACAAATTAGAAGTTCTTAAATTATGCTCATACAATATTCGTGATCTTCAATTTTCTAAAATTATAAAATAACTATTATTTTTTTAACGGAGATAAAATGATTACTGAAATATTAATTATAATTAAATAGTAAAAATATCACATTAATAACATATATTGATCATTTGTTAACTAACGATTTTTATTAAACATGAGCTATTTCGATCAAAAATTAAAATGACGAAAGCTAAAATACTCCAATAAAAAAGAGAATAGAGGATAAAGTAATCGTTCGTGCGAACATTCTAGGACTAATTTTTCATTATATCTTCTCTAATTTGATAAGCTTTTAAGAACAAGATTTAACCTTACAATTCTTTTAAGATTTCTACTCAAATCTTAACACTCGAACCTTATCAAAAGATAAAACAAATAAGCAAAATAGAAATGAGATTTATATGATTAAAATATTTACAAATTAAGCACACACAAAAATCATTTGAGCTAAAAGAATACAATGAATGCTCACAAGTGTCAAGAATAAAAGATAAAGAAATTTAAGTACAAACGAGTCTCTTCAAATAGATGTTCCTTTATTGTATAGTTCTTTACTCGTAAAAAGCTTTGGATGTTTGTATTTATAGCTTCTAATTGATGGGGACTGTTGGGGACATGAATGGAGTCGTTGCAGCAATGTTTTTCCACAATAAATGTCATTAAGAACTTGTTACTATCTATACTCAATGAGTATTAGAATAAAATACTTATCGGGTATCGATGATTAGAAAAAAATATCAATACTGAGATAACAATATCGATATTGCTTTGATATACGATTTTTGGACAAGTTTTTTTAACACTTAAAAGGTATTGATATTTATGAAAAGGTATCGATATTCATGAACGAGTACTGGTACTCTTTATTTAATATTGATATTTATGAATGAGTATTGCTGCTCTTTGTCCAACATGGTGTTAGTGTTGAGTTCATAAATGCCTAAAGATTGACCTCATTAGCTAACAGACTATCAGTAGAAAATACAAAAGAACTACCTAAATTAATTGACAAATTGAAAACTTTTACAGGGGGCGACAGCCCCCCCGGGCCAACCCCTTGATCCATCCCTGCATCTAAGTGCCTTAATGAAAACAAATTCCACGATTTCATGGATAAATCTGTGATCAAGCTAGACTAAACAGTGTAACCAAATGGATTCCCTGATTGAAACCAAACCTAGAAATTCAACTATTTCAGTTGGGTGTTCAAAGAAAAAAAGACTGCTTGCAGTTTAACATTGTGGGCAGCTGCTGAAATTCAAGTAGACCACAAATCACATCTAACATAACTCGGTGCTTGTGAAAAAGAACAGTTTTGAAGTACATCTTATTCTTTTCGGTGGTTCAGAACCAAAGTACAATCTGGGTGCGGAATGGGTAAAACAGTTTAATTTCGTTCATATTCCTAAATTTTCTACTAACTTCAGCAACAATGAAAATGAAGTCAACTGATTAGCAGTGCTATTTATTTCCAGTATTGCCATGTCAACCCCTTGATACCTTAGAAGCAAAAGATATGCAAGAAACATATAAGCAAATAGCTACCCGGAATCAGCTTTCGTTGGGACATCTAGCTGCCAATTTAACCACAGAAAAACATAAATTAGCAAATTTATTTTATAACTTGATACATCACGATTCAACAAAGGGGGCAAATTTTTAACCTAGAATCATGAGTGATGTTATAAAAATCAGCAAAAACTCAGATATTTAACGGACTTCATGAACGTACCATTTTGAACTGTGTTCACTGCTGAAGTCTGATGAGGTCCGTTAATTCATCAACAATAGCTTTGTAGCAGAAAAAATATTGATCCTATTAAATGGTATGTAGAGAGTCGGTCAAAACTTTAGAAGGTTGAAAACAAGAATGTGAAAGATAAAAAATAAAAAGTAAATGAGCTTGTTCAAACACACTCATCATAACAAAATCTGAAATTATTTCTCCGAGTTGCTTCTACCAAATAAGTCTAAAGTAGAAGTGTTATATTTATTCCTATTGTAATACTAAAGTCTATTCAACATAGGACCAAATAGCTATCCTAGTCCCATCCTTTACAATGTGAGCTAACATAATGGGCAACAAAAAATTGAGTAATGAAACAATCTTGATGTTTCATCTCTTCTCTATCTTTTTGTTGGTATAAAGGAACTCGGGATTAAATGCCAGCCCTTGCTGGAATCCACCTAAGAGAGGTGGGGGAAATATTTAAGCTACAAGTTATTGGTGAGTAGTATGATTACTTGCCAAAGAAATGAAATTCTACAACATAACAGCAAACAGTGCAGAACTTATTACAGCTCTCAGAAGAAACTTTTGATGCAATTATACTGTAAATGCAAATATATCTTTAATAATTGCTTAAGATGTTTCTAACCAATAAGCCAAAGACATTGTACTGCAATGAATAAAATGAACCATGTAATTTGTTGCTTATTTCTCTCTTTTGGTCTGATTGCAGCGAAATCCCTAATGAAATTCTTGCATCCTTAGCATTAGCGCTGACCATGATTTCCATATGGCTATTTATACTTTTAGGAACTTGGAGTATCATAATAGCTTAGCAATTTGAAATAGCGTATGCAATCAGATTCTCTCAAATTAAAATCTGAATTTATAGACATGGAAGTAATACCATGGTTTGAACCATTCCAATGCGCTGGGACCTGAATATAGATACGGTATTAGCAAGGTCTAGCGCAGACATGTCCCCAATGAGGATTCTCTGGACAGTGTTATGAATTGCACAGTATGTTCCAGTTCTCCCGATACCTGCACTGAGCCAGAGAGAAATTGTCTCAGGCAGATACATAACAGACTTAAACCTTGAACCATATTTTAAAAAATAAACGAGTTGTACCTGCAATGCACCAATATTGGACCAATATTTACTGGTACTTGTAATAGTCTTTTCAAGATTTCACGGACAGCAAGTGTGTCAGTGGGAACTCCATGGTCAGGCCAATCAGGATACTGAATGTGCAAAACAGATAGTGGTGGATCTTTTGACTGCAAAATCATACCCAAAGGAATCAGGAAAATAGTTGATTTATAGTTCTCGCAATGTGCAAAGGAAAATAGTTGATTTATAGTTCCTCCATAAAAAAAACGGTTTGCCTTAAAGAGCAATACGATGGTTGACTTCTCTTCATTTTTCCCGTGGGGGAGAGGAGATTGTAAAATCTTCCCCCATGAATTATTTTAAAAGAGGATGCCCAACATACTGTAGATTTATAGTTCTCGCAATGTGCAAAGGATGGTCAAATAAACAAAAAACTACTGAAAATTTACAGTTCTAACTTCTAACCCAAGCATAAACAAGAAATTATTAATGTATCCCACTTGCAAGTTATTTCATAATCTGTTGCAAGGTTACTCGACAAAATGATGACTAACAAAGAGTTATTGATATTGACTTAAACTCCAAGTAATTTAGGTCATTCATTATATTGTGAGAAACAAGAGTTTTAATCATCATCATTTGGATGGTAGAATTGTCAGTTAGCCTTAGGGTTTATATGTAGGTGTTGTGGATGCTTACAACTCGTGGTTGGTAGGACTTTATTTAGTTTGATATACTTTGTTTAATTATTGTAATCTCTATTTAAGGGGACGATGGATAAAACAAAGTCAAGTCGAATTTTTATCAAAACCCTACAAAACAAGTATTTTTCTTTTTCATTCCAATAACGCGACAGTGATTTTCCCATAAATCACACATGAATTTACTGAAAAAAGAGGATAGCGTTTACTGGAAGAAAGTATTTTTCTTTTTCTTTCCAATAATGCAAGTAAACAGTCATGTTATAGGTTGTGTCTACAGCAGCAGAATCTTATTTAGATTAGTGTTTGTATAGGAGTCCTACTAGGTTACATCTTTGTCTAAAAGTCTTTTCTTAGTAGATATCTATCTTATCTCCTATCTAGACAAACCTAATCATAAAAGACCCTTTAACACAAAATTAAAAGCATATTAAATTCAAATTCATTCTACACTCCCCCCGCCCCCAAGCTGGAGAGTATATCAATTTGGCAACACCATTTTTTACTTCCTCTGAAATAAAGTGTCTATCAATCTCCACATGTTCAGTCATGATGAACGAGATTCTTAGCAATGCTTATGACAGATTGGTTGTCACTTTGCACCATGAATTGATCATTGAAGTCCACCGTTATCTCTTTTAATAATCTCTGAATCTACATTCCTTCACAAGTTCCTAGTGCAAGGGCTCAAAACTCTCCTTCAACACTACTTGAAACTACTGATTGCCTCTTACTCCATGTAACAAGATTACCCCAAAAAAGGGGCAATAGCCGCTTGTAGACATCCTTTCAATTAACTCTCTAACCCAACTTGTATCAATATAAATTTCAACTTCTCAATTTCACTTCTTTAAAAAATTAAACCATGATCGGGTGTTATTTTGAGGTACCTAAGTATTCAATTGATTGCTTCCAGATGCTCTACTCTAGGGTCATCCATATGTTGACTTACAATACCTACTAAAAAAACAATATTCGATCTTGTATGGGATATTAACTTTCCCATTAACCTTTGGTATTATTCTTTATTTTTTTTGATAAGAATTACAGGCCTCATTAAAAAACCCCTTCTTGACTAATGGAACTTTTGAGAAAGTTCCTTAATCAGTGAAGGGAGGAAAAGAGTGCCTTAGGATTTTATTGCTCAAGAAAACATAGTACATAAAAAACACCCAACAGACTGACTAAACACCATAAAAATTACAGAGCATTTAACACGACCAGTCCGCCCCTATACAATAGCGAAACTACCACATCCCCTACAACCACAATAACCCAAAACCCCACTGAATGACCTCTAAAGCTATATTGTGTGATCAGCCAATCCCCTGTTTAGCTAATGTATCAGCCTCACAATTACAACTCCTCGGAATATGTCTAATAATGATCGCCCTCTCCGAGATTAAGGAAGCAATTTTTTGAACCAGTAACCTAAGGAAAGGAGGAGAAGAAGTCGGTTGTAAGATCCAATCCACCACTGTCTTACAATCACTCTCAATAATTAACCTTCCTTGAGTCGCGCCCATTCCGACGATAGAAAAAATTCAATGCCTTTCTCTATTGCTTTCATCTCAGCGAGTGGAGGAGGACCTGGACCTAGGGGTGAGCAACGAAACCGAGAAAACCGAAAAACCGACACGAACCGAGTAAAAACGGTTCGGTTTGGCTTTAAACGGTTCGGTTTTCGGTTCGGTTTAAAGGCTTCATTTTTTTGATTCGGTTCGGTTCGGGTTTTCCATATGGAACCCATTTGTTCCATATTGAACCGAATAGGCAATTTTTGTAAAAAAAATTATAGTTTCAAGTGATTTTTTCATTGAAAAATCGAAAAATCGAACCGAAAAACCCGAACCGTTAAAAAACCCGAACCGAACCGAAAAAACTGGTTTCGGTTTTTTCGATTTTTTAACTATTCGGTTTCGGTTTAAATATTGAAAAACCGTTTATTTCGGTTCGGTTCAGTTTTTGGTAAAAAACCGAACCGAACCGAACCGAATACACCCCTACCTGGACCAACATCAAGTGAGAAAGACCCAAGGATTTTGCTTTCCGAGTCCCTTAAAATACCCCCCATTCCCCCAAACAGCCCGTCCCCACTAACTGCTCCATCAACATTAACTTTAAAAAAAATGAAGGGGAGGAGGATGCCATTCCTGAACCTTCATCCTTTTAGGGTGCCTTGTCTGGTGCTTGTCTGCAAGCGACGGGTCTCCAACAAGAGAATCAACCTGAATGAAATCGTTCGGGTATTTCGCAAGGAACCACTTAACCAACCTAAATCTGCATAAGAAGAAAAGTTTAGGTTTGTCCAGTTTCCCATCATCAAAAACCACCGAATTTCTAGCCTTCCATAGTGACCAAAGAACTACCCCCGGTATAAAGCCCCATATTAATGACTTTGGCCTTAAATCCGACCAGGAGCACAACAAAGAGGCTGGATCATTAGGTAAAACTGACGAGACTCCCAATAACCTCCAGAAACTGCTCCATAAATCCCATGCAACCTGACACGAGATAAACAAATGCTGAACTGTTTCCTCCTGCTTAGCACATAACGGGCAAGACACCTCCTCCAACGTAACACCCCTTTTTATCAGCTCCGATCTGACTGCCAGTCTTTGATGAGAAACCTGCCAGAGAAAAGTTTCGACTCTAGGTGGGGCCAAACCTGACCAAACGAATTTCTTCCAAGTGAGACTGCCCCCTGAGTTGGAAGAAAGGGTCAACCTGCAGGCTTTAGCAGTAAACAATCCATCACCCTTTCCCGACCATGCCAAAAAATCATCCACCGAATCAGATAGCCCAACATTCTCCAATAGTGTCATCAGTCGAATCCAGTGCTCCATCTCCCAGTCACAGAGATTCCTTCTCGTCTGAATGTTCCAAATCCACTTATTGCTTATTATACTTCCAAACTCTGAAACTTTTCCCCACTTATTGTTGGATAGAGCATATATTCTCGGAAATTGACTTTTTAAGGATTCCTCATTTAGCCACACATCATGCCAGAATACAATCGACTTTCCATTACCTACTTGTATCTTCCAAATCTACTTGTATTATTCTTTATTTAGAGGAACTCCATCTCTCCTTAGCTTTAAGTTGGGATCCATGGGTGTTTTTTTCTTGTTTATACTCAAGCATATTGATCTTTGTCAGCAAGTCCAGAACATTTTTCCTTTGTGAGAACAAAATCACAGCTTTGGATCGAGCAACCTCCATCTATACAAAATATTTGAGAGTACCACAATCTTTGATTTCAAAATCAACAGCAAGTTGACTTTTCAGGCAATTGATTTCTTCAAGGTCATCTCCTGTTATGATAATATCATTGTGAGTTGTAGATATACTTAGTTAATTTGTTATTTGTTAATACTCTTAGTTAGTTTAGATTAGATTGATCTTATCTTTAATTTAAATTTTAAATGTTTGTATAGTTGTTACTTGTTAGGCATCCTAACAGGGGTAAAACTCTAGTCTAAGTAACACTGTAAACTTTATTGATATGAAAAATAATTGAAAACAAACTTGTTTTCAGTTTCCACTTGGTATCAGCCTAGGTTTCGGTTTCTAAAACCCTGGAGATGATAAATTGATCTGTAAATGCTGTTCACTCAATCACAGAACCTACTTTTCGTTCTGATGATGTTTTCGAATCCTTGAATTAGGGGCCCTTCTAAGGTTAACAATATTAATGGTTGTAGTTGGTTCATCACCTTCATTGATGATCATAGTAGGATCACTTGGACTTACTTGATGAGAGAAAAATGACACTGTCCATATTTTTAAACGCTTTTATGCTATGGTTGAAACCCAATTTTTTTTTTTTGATAGAAGATTTGGCCTCATTAAAAAATCCCCTTCTTACCCTCCATGTTACGAAAATAACATGAAGGACATTGGAAGGAGGAAAAGAGTGCCTATAATTTTATTAATCTGAAGAATAATACACTGCCACCCCTAACAAACTTAATACCTTCCCACAAAAACATAAGACTTAAAAACCACCTTCTGCTGAAAAACCTTAACACTAGTTACATAAGACTGGAAACAAAATCCCTTCTGAAACAAAGGGAATCCACCCTCTAACATCCCACAAACAAAGCCAAAAAATCAACCTATACCATCTTTAGTTAATCTATCCGCTTCCCAGTTGGCAGCCCTCAAGATAAACCTTAACAATATATCCTTCCCTTCCTTTAAAGAGACGATCTCCTTCACCAAGGATTGGAACATAGGGTTGCTTAATTCTGAATTTTTGATCCACTTCACCGCGACACTTGAATCCGATTCTAAAATAATCCTCTGATTAAGATCCAAACCTGAATCATTAAGCATACTCGGCCCCCTCTTTATCGCCAAAAGTTCTGCCAAAATCGGAGGACCACCCCTAACCTTTTCAGAAAACCAGTGAATCAACACACCACTACTATCCCTAATCAGACCTCCTATACCACCTTTATTCC